TCTTTTGAGATATCGACGCCCTACAACTGCCACTAGCCGAAACACCAACATTTCCACTAGCAGAGGGACTGAGAAATAAACCAATAGTGAGATAGCGACCACGAGACATGCCCTCGGATGTCTCCGAATAGAGGGTCGTCCCGCGTCCTCCGAGCGAATACCAAGGTTCGAAAGCGCCATCGCCACTGAGGTATAACCATCTCCCTTTTCATTTTATACTTCATGCTAACCTTTATGCAGGCAACCGACCAAGGCAGTCGAAACACTAACCCAGCTCGAAGACCTCAAGGTTTTAAAGCATCAGTTGCAGTCTTTTCCTTCGACCGGGTTTTTACCCCAAAAAGGGTTTTATCGGCAAGGTTTTTAACGAGGAAACATCTACATGCTACCTAAGGAAGACTTAACAAGAATTCAAGGCTTCTTTTGCAATCAACCTCGAACACTGGGGGGCATCCCCCCGGAAGGCCATCCACTCGGAAAAGCCAAGAAACGCCAAGTGGGGTCCCAATAGGAAAATGATGTACCAGGCCAAACGGTCGAACGAACCGTGTCCGCATAGCCAGGCCCCCGACGGCGAAAATATGTATACTTGTACCAAGTAATCGAAGAATATCTCGTATCAAAGCATCTTACGCTCCAAAAGAAATTCGGCATTTTCGCAAAAATAACTCCTCTGACAAAAATGTCCCGAGTACTCGGGGACTGGCGTCAACAATTCAATACCTAAGCGATCCCTAAATCGAAACTCCAAACTCATAAGCCCTCAACGAGGCAAAATCACGAAACATCTCCAAAGCCGAAAGTGTCCTGAGCACTCGGGGACTAGCGTCAAAACCTCAAAAACGCACGACCTCAGTGTCAGAAACTCTAAAATCGTAAGCCCTCAATGAGGCAATACCGAATTTATGAGTAACGGCTCTCGAGCCACGATACCCTCGATGACTCGGGGGCTATCGCCAATCACCATTCATTAAAAACCCGAGGCCATAGGACCCCAAGTGGGCAGGCTCGATCTCGTGAGACCTAAATAAGAAAACAACAGTATTTGTAAGACCTCAAGCAAGGCATGAACCGCACTTGTACCAAGTAGCAATATCTGTAAGACCTCAAGCAAGGCATGAACCATACTTGTACTAAGTATCTAAAAAACTGTAAGACCTCAAAGGCATGAAAATTTTGTAAGACCTCGCTAAAGGCATAAACCCGATCTCTAAGTTTAGGCTATATATCGAACTTGTAAGACCCCTAAAAGGCATACCCTCGATGTAGACACCTAAACTACTTCACTCGACATCAAAAATGGCTCCGGCCAAGCACAAATGACTACGGTCATAGGGCTGTACCAGCCAAACTAACGCGACTCGGGGACGCCCGACCGTCGCTACGAAATCACAGGCCTTCAATTACTTCGAATCTACTTCAAAAAGAACCGGTTAAACAGGCTACCCTCGACATAGGCAAAAAGAGCTTCGACCATGTCAGCTCCAACTCATTGGCTTCGAGATACTCAGCCTCCGAGACAAACCTCCTGAGGTACTCGATCATCGCCACATAACGACCCGTAATCGAGGTTTTTTATCGAACCGTCAAAGAGTCAGGCAAAAATTTTTCAAAAAAGTCCTTAACGAGGGAAAACCAAAGCCTACAAAAGGTCGCATCGACCCAACGCGAAAGAGCCATTGTCGCCAGCCCACATAAAAGGTCGCTTCGACCCAAGGCATAAGAGCCCCTGTCGCCAGCCCACACAAATCGAAAACTTGAGGGTCGAATGAGCTCGAGTAGTAGACCGATTCGGAGACTGAACCCAAAACAGTTAACAAGAATGCCTAAGAGCAAAAACGTAAGAGCCATTGTCGCCAGCCCCCGTAAAAGGTCGTACCAACCTAACGTGTAAGAGCCTAAGGGCTAGCTTTGAATTCAAAACTTGAGGGTCGAATGAGCTCGAGTCGAAACCCGATCGGAGATCGAACCAAAAATAGTTAACTAAATTTTCCCAAGAGCAAAAGCATAAGAGCCGTTGTCGCCAGCTTATACCATGAGGTCGCATCGACCAAGCACGTAGGAGCTCACGGACCAACCTAATGAGCCCCAGGGCCACACCACAAATCTAAGGATTCCTCTCAGCTCAAAGATCAGTTCACCTAACTAAAACCAAGGCGAAAGGAAATGCAGGAAAAATAAAACCGCGAAGTTTCTTCTTTATACATACATACGGAAAAACACAGGCTCCATTTACAAACGCGCTTTATACTGAATCAAAAGCAAAATTTACGTCCCCCCAGGGGGGCTATGGCCCATCGGCCTCATCTTCGTTATCGTCGGTGTCGGATAGAAGTAACCGAGCATCACGCTTGTCCGCCCTCGCTCTCGCCAACTCTTCCGAGAGGACAAATCCCCGAGCACGGACCTACTCGAGAACTTTCCTCCGAGACTTACAACGAGCATGTTCCTTGATCCTGTCTTCACGGTCGAGGGCCTTTCTCAGCTCAGCTTGAGCATCGGCAGTGTCCTTCAGACAGACCGCCACTGTCTGGTCGGCTTTAGTCCGGCTCATTGCGGCTTCAGCCTGGGCGTCCACAACCTCGGCCTTTACCTTCCAAAGCTCAGACTCGAGCTTCGCAATCATATCTGTTCGAGCCGAGCTATGATCGCGAGCTAGGCGAAGTTGAACCTCAAGGGCAGAAACCTTGTCCAGAGCACCCTTCTCCGCCGAAAGCCTGAGCGTCCGCCTTGGCCTTTAACTCATCATACTCACGCTTGGCTCGGCCAACTTCGTTCCGGAGACACTCCAGGTCCACCATTTTCCTCTGCAACTGAAATAAACAAAACGTTAGCCTCAAGATCTAAAAGAAAGAACACACGCTCGATCGGAACAAAAAACTACCTGCTCCTTCAGATAGCTCTCATAATTCGAGCTCCGATTCGCCTCATACTGTAAGTATGCCAGCTCGTTTTCCCTTTCTTTGCAAAGGTGCCTAAGCGATTTCTCCTCACCCAAAGCTTTCTGAAGCCTGGCCTCACGGCGAAACAGCTCGGACTTAAGCTTATCAAAAGCCTGCAAAGGAAAACATGATAAGGAAGGGAGGGCACAAAACTCGGAAAACCTATGCCAAAACTCATCGCATAGTGAAGCCGCTGGGCTTCCTCGAAGGTCGAGCACACATCCGCTAGCTTGGCTCTCTTGGCTCCGAAGAAGACAGCCCCGACCGAGGCACGATTGCTCGGCACATATGAACCCGGGTTCCGGGCACCCCTCAAAATACCTCCGACAGAAAAAAGGGACGACAACGGAGGAGAAACCGCCTTTCCAAAGTCAGAAACCACGGGCGCAGTTGGCTCAGTCGATACTTCCACTGCGAGCCTCCGGTCCAGGTTCGCCTCGCTTTTAGAACCGTCGCCATGCAAAGGTATCACTTGCTTATTGCTATCGTTTTTTAGCTTAGAAGCTAGCAACCCTTCTCCTTCTCCAGAGGGACACAGCCTCACCTTGGAAGGCTCTCCGATGCCTACGACAGCAAGATTAATACGTAGAAACGGAAAGCGCCGTTCCAAATGAAAAAAGGGAAAAGGAAAAATCGCACAACACAAACCATGATGCTTCGCTCCCCATCTGCCCCAGGCAAAGCTTGCCACTTACACTCATCGCGGGTCGAGTGGGTCGCCAACTTCCGGATCCAATTAGGCAGATCAGGAACGTCGCTCGGCGTCCACGAAATCACTGCAAAAAGGGAAAGGGAGGCACGTTTACGAAGCCAGCCTTCGCCATAAACAAAACCAAGAACGCACGAAGTGTACCACTTACGTGTAAAATTCCATTCCTCAAGGAATGGCATAAACTCCACAGGGATAATGTCAACAGTCCGAACTCGGACGAATCAACACATCCACTCCCGGTCTCCATCTTCTTCATCATCAATAACGAAAGTCGTGGCCGACCGACATCGTAGAGTTAGCAGGCCTCGAAGGTGGAAAGGCCGGTACAGCCTGATAAGATGGCTGAGCGTCAACTCAAGCCCTGCCTTCTCTGCGAAGAACCTCATCATCAGTACTATCTGCCAAAATGACGGATGAATCTGCGTCAGGGTAACCCGATACTTTAGACAGAAATCGAGCACAACCCTATCAAGGGGGCCCAGTGTGAAAGGATACGCGTACACGTTCAAAAACCCATCGGCACGATCCGTGATGCCCTCATCCGGGGAAGGTATCTGTAACGCTACCTTTTCCCCCATCTGCAGTCTTTTCTCACTAACCTAAGGTGTTCTTCTCCTATCAAAGAAGTAATCTTCAAGGTATGCTCTCGTTGGTCCCGAATACCGGAGGCGGAGCTCTCCCCTCTCTGTCGGACAGACCCCAATGTAACAGTCATGGCGATGGCAAAACCAGACACTACAGCAAAAAGTGGATGTAGCGGCAATAAAAAAGGAAATTAGCGGCAATAAAAATAGCCGCTATATCATTTACCGGCCATTGATCTTTAGCCGCTGAAGCCAGGGTCGCTAAAGCCTTTAGCGGCATTTATCACAAAAGCTGGTAAAAGGTATGACTTATTGCCGCTAAATATAATTTGCTTTAATGGCAATTGTTTGCGACAATTATGATGGCCGCTAAATCCAAGCTAAAACTACTACTAACTCTTTTTAGTGTCCATTTTTATAGCCACTATATTCAAAAAATATTGCCACTAAAAGTCCATACCTTTAGTGGTAAATGTTTTGTGGCAATTAGAATGGCTATAATATCCCTTCTAAAAATGTATTAATATGCCCTTATAGCATCCATTTTAATGGCTAGTAAATTTAATTAAATTGCCGCTAGAAGTCATCTTTAGCAGCAATTACAATGGCTACAATATTCCCTGTGGAGACATCACAATTTGCCATTTTATCGTCCATTTTTATAATCGATATGTCCTGTTAAATTAGCGCTAAAAGTCACAAGCTATAACGACAATAGTTTAGCCACCATTAATAATAGCTAATACATTCATTCAATCAAGGTTCCAAATAACAAAACATACTAATATTAATTCATAAAAACATAATGTATCTCATTAAATTTTAACAAACAAAAGAAAGTACTAATCCGAAATATTAATATCACAGTAACTTAAAAAAAAGCATATACTGTTTGAAGTAATTAGCTAATGTCATTAGATCACTAATTCCAACGAATAATAATCTTCAAGTAATATTTGCAACTCATCATCATATTGAAATCTTTGACCCGCTAAATTATCGATCATGTATGACCTGAAATTATAAAATAACTATGTCAATAGATGAAATATATGAGCACTATAGATGTACGCATAAGCAAGCAAATCTTCTTCTACTAGCAATCACTAAATATAAGAGGAATGCAAGACAGAGATTATCACACCAATGTAGAAAGCAAAAACATATGAAATTCATGCAAGATTTGGCAATCAATCTGACAAATATAAGATATACAAAGCTAGCTTAGCTCCTAGATAAATTGAGTATTGAAAAGGGATCTATTACTTCAAGTTCTTGATGGTTAACACCTGTTGATGGATAATGCTTATCAATTACATCATCTATTAAATTCAGCAAGCAGAACAAACGATTTCATCTCTGACCCGATTCAAGAACTGGGCGAAAGCAAACAAGCTTAAAAGAGTCAACTAACTAACAACAATATTCTTAAATGAAAACGGGAATCAAGGTAATTCTGATAGCCAATCAGATAAGAAAGCAAAAAAGAAAAACCAAAACTCAGCAGGAATTTCATTTGCTTCGCACAATCAAGACAAGTTCAAAGGTGTGTACCTAATTGTTTGAGAAACAATACTCCAAAGAGAAGACAAATGAAGGCAAAAATGGTGGATGAGGATCAGCAGAATTAGCACAGCAAAACAACAGACTTAATGCTCGAAAAATCCGGAGGTAGCATCCTTAGTGGAAGCAGCAGAGTTAGCGATGGAGCCATTGCTTTTACTTCAAGTTCTTGATGGTTACTTCAAGTATTTTAATGATTAACAAATGTAAAATGAACATGTGCTAAGAAAAGGGATAATGCTTATCAGTTATCAGTAGGATTTTATATCAAACTAGCAGCTGTAGCTGCTGCAATATTCCTGACATTCTTCCAGGAAACAAATATAAACATACATGTATTAATGGCTTTTAGGTCTTGCATAGGTTAAAGTTCATGTTTTTTCCTAAGCTGTCCCTTTGTGATCTTATTGGAATCCATTTCCATCTAAAATGACTGGAACCAGCAACACATTATCTCATCAAACCCCAACTCTGACAGTTATAAAAAAAAAATCTTTGGATGATGAAACCAAATTCGAAAGATGCGATTCATGGATTTTACAGCTGATCTATTTCAGAGGGTTCACCCTGCAATAAAAGTTCTTCAACTTAGGGAATTATTACCATATTATTACCAATCCAGAAAGATGCTTGACCAGGAAATGAGAGAAAATCAGATGTTAAAACATCTTAGGAAAATCACCAATTTTCTGATACTATGAGCTAGTATTTTGTATATCCAATTTTAGGCTATGAACAAACATTGGAGTATAGTTTTCTCATTTCTTAGGCCTAAGCCGCCCACAGGAACTCGACTCTTCCTTTACTGTTTTACTTTCTTCCCCTCTTCCCAAGTAAATATTTGAAATCAGATCCTATTGAGATAAATCTATGATGATACGGTCCATCAACTTTCAATATATACAGCCATCTGAAACTTAATTCAAAAATAAAAATGAAGGGTCCAAACTCAGGACAATTGGTCAGTAAATCAAAATCAGCATTGTATATGCATCATTCTTCAAGTGAAGAGGTGAGTAACAAGGTGCAAAGAATTACTGGAATTGGCAGACAAGATTTTCCTTTCACATATCTAGGTTGTCCTATCTTTTATACTAGAAGAAAGCTGGATTTTTATCAAGGATTAATCAACAAAATGGCTCATGTGTTCTTTCGTTCACCTGCTGCCAAAAGAACATGGCTGTACTTTTTCTCTCATGCAGGATTGTCCTTAGAAGGTCTGAATTTGCACAAAGCAGTGGTTCGAAGCTGGACAGCACAAGTAATCCCCCGACTCAAACCAATTTTTTAAGCACTACCATCTATTATTTTATGGGAATTATGGAAAAGGAGGAATTGCTACAAGTATGGGGATGTGGTATCAATTAGTAGGGTGATTTATCAAGTTAATACCACAATACAATATCTTGTCAAGGTGAGGAAGCCAGGAATACAAAATGTGCCTCATAAGTGGCCTGATATATTGGATATGATGGAACATTATACTCCAAAGTTGAAAATTAACAAAGTATTATGGGAATTACCTAGAGAAGGATGGATAAACATTTGACTTGATACATTGTTCCAGATGTAGCATTAATTGGACCCGTGATGGTACATCTTGTTTGCTTTACTATTTGTTTCGCTATTGATGCTATTCATCCTCAAGTTTTTGTCCAAGAAATTGTTCAGAGTTCTGTTATTTTCTAGACAGCTGAAATGTTTTGTTATGGTACAAATTATCTGGTGTAAAGTAAGGTTTCAATCTTGCGACATGTCTTAAACTATTCTTTTCAACTAATAAAACCAATCTCATCCCCACTCTGTAAAAGAACAAAAGCAAATGGCTAGACGTGGGAAAGCAACACAATATGGGAAATATAAAGAAGCGTATCGAAAATAGGAGAAATAGAAACAAACCATTTTTTGAACTTTTACATGTATTCTTCTTTAAGTAAATTGTATTTGCATTGCAATACAAGCATTGCGTCTTCTTTCCTTCTCTTTTCCACATGATATATATGGTTTAAGGGGTAAATCTTATTGCCAACCTAATCTCTCACTTCTCATTTATTGGTCTTTAATTTTGCCGGTGAAGATGGAATTCTGCTCCTAGAGGTAAACAGGATGCTTCGGGCAGGAGGATACTTTATTTGGAAAGCAGAACCTGTTTACAGACATGAAGAAAACTTGTTTGCACCATTGAAAGGTAACAGCTTCATCCAATATCTAGCAATATGGCACCATCAAATAGAGGTTGATATGAGTTAGAAAGAGGGAACCCGGGCAGGAGCTCAATAGGTTATTGTCTAAGGGATGAATTTGGAGATGTTATTCATGCAAAGGGACAGGAGATTCAAGAAACCACAAACACAGAGGCAGAGGCAGTAGCCATTCTGTATGCACTCAGGTACTGTAAAGCGTATCAATTATCTCATGTCTGGGTGCAAACTGATTCCATGCTATTGAAGAATGTTATTGAAAGAAGCTGGAGTACACCTTGGGGAATTCTGAGCATGTGGAGGAAATAAGGAGTTTGTTGCAGGAGTGTAATGCAGTTATCACACACATATTTCGTATAGGCAACAAACTGGCAGATTATTTAGCCAATTATGCTCTTGATATAGGTCCTATTGAGTGCGATTCTTTTGCTCAACTGGACAGCTCAGGGAGAAGGATTTTAAATGACGATAAACTACAATGCCCATACTTGAGAATAAGGGTTGCAAGGAATTGAAAAAGGAAGAACAGATAAACAACATATCGAGGCAGTACTTTTCAGAGGGCTGTATGGAAGATTTTCAAAGCAACAAAGCAAGACTTCCAGCATGTACATCATGTAGGACATACTGGGAACATAAGCAAAATAAATTTTCAGGTGTTCATTCATGGATCACAATTAAATCATGGATGAGAATAGGCACAACAAACACAATTTCGAGGTGCTGGGCAGTGTTTTCACAGCAGATAATCACAACTGTGTTATTGCAAATGCACTGTAATACCAGTTGTGAACTCTCACAGGATGAAGAAGTCCCAACAAGAATCATCGAGACAACACACGTAAGTTATGGTATGAGCAGCATAGCTGACAACACAGAACTTTCAGCATGGTACATTTTGCAACGAATTTCGGAGATCGTGGAGACAATTAGGATTCAAATCCTTGCACTATGGATTGCTCCTTGGAATATTGCTAATCATGTGGAGGAGATCAAGAAAGTAATGCAGAGGAGTACTGTTAATATATCACATATATTGAGAGAAGGTACTACCCTAGAACCCCAGTCCCTAAACTAAGCATGAGCTCCTCTAATGTGAAGATACAAATAAGGAATAACTATTCCTGGACATACACGCGAAGGCTGCCTAGTTTTTGGTACGTGACATGTTCATATTTATGGCATCTAAAAATGGGAACAATGAAGGTATTGGGAAGTCATTACCTAGTGCACTTTGTTCATACTACATCCCAAGAATGGTGCCACATAAAGTTTACATCAAGATACTACTGGGGAACACTCGATCTTCATGGCAAACAAGACGTGATCACCTATTTGACTACGATTGCGGACATTTTGGACAGAGCAGGGGAGAAATTCGAGCTACATCTGCAATTAGGGACATACCTTCATGTATCTGCTGAGACATCAAGATTACAAGCAGAAAAATGTATACAAAACTGGAGGCCAAGTACTACACCTACAGCAAATGATATGCTAATAACTGCTTGTGTGAGTGCCTACATGATACATGCTCCTGCTTCTATGCTTTTTCCTTCAATATATGCAGCAGGGTGGACACACTATGGGACAGATCATGATCTACATTATGCACGAAAGACAGAGTTACTGGGCAATGAGTTATACAGATGCTATCATGGCATGCTTAGTGCTAGTTTTTATTCAAGAACCTTACTACATTATTATATTTCTTTATCATTGGTTAATCAGTTCAGAATGTACTATCGGTTCTGGTAATAGGGGCTATGTAATTACCTTAGCATATGACTTTACATCTTGTAAGACACAACACTACTTTTGCTTGTTTTGCTTTAGAACAAACAGATTCTTACAAAGAATCATGTCCGCTGACCAAAATAATTCAGATGAGTAGGAAGGGCAGGTTCAAGAAAGATTAAAAAAGGCAGAAAATAGAGAGGCCACAACCCAGAATCTTATTAGCTTAGTTCCGCCCAGCAGTAGCCTTAGAAAAAATACAGAGGAACCAATTCAAAGACAAGAAAACAGAAATTATAAACACAAAAAGGCAGCAGATATCACAAACAACTATCAATCAGAGTAAACAACAAAAACGCAGCAGACAAACAAACAACAATAGAGTAACAGGGGAAGAATCAATTCAATCACTCGATTATCAATCTAATAGTATGCAGATATCACAAACAACTTGGAAAACACAAAAAAAGCTATACTTTGACAGCGACGATTGAGCATATTCGAGCAGCATCAACCCAAAATCAATTGTAAATCGATTTCAAGAAACCTGCTGGGTAAGAATAGAAGTTACCTGGGGATGGTCGGAGATCGTAGCAGGGCGGACCGGCGGAGATTGTTGCGGCGTTATTGTTAAGCACGTAGGTTTTGCTACGGCGTGCCTCACCTTCAAATTGGCGACTGGCGTGCGTCTTTAATTTTGAAGAGAATCCGTTTTCCGATTGTTTTCTAATTAAAGGGAAAGTAATTTCTTGTCCAAAAAAATTGGAGGGAAATATGTTTTTGTACGGAGGGAAAGTTAAAATAATAAAAAAGTTGATTTCAATTAGTGTTTTTTAGTGGTAATTTTTTTTATTGTCGGTAAAAGGATATCTTTTACTGGCTATTGATCATGTGCCGCTAATATTTCAGCTTAAATAATTCATTAGCGACAATTACCTTATTGCCGCTAAATAATTGTCGCTAAAAATTTTTTTTGTAGTAGTGAGAGAACTAAAGCTGGAATCGGTGCAAGTACGTTGGTACTGAAATGATGAAAGGCTTAACGCAGGAAAAGAAGGGTAGCTACTTAGAATGATGGGATCTCCAAAAAAGCAGAAACAACCTTATATATGGATTAAATGGCGATGATGCGCCTTCCTCAGAGGTCGATTAAAAATACTAACCGATATCACTTCGGGAAGCTGCGCCGGCGGGATCGCCTCGATGGCTTTGCAGCCATATCGTGCATTAGGCGACGCCACCTGATGATTTGGGGGTGAAGATCCCCGTACCGCTGCAAATCCCGAGGTGATACCCGACCTCGAGGACCTCCATCAAATAGAAGTTAGGCTCCAAGAAGCCAACGGCATCGTCGCAAGTCCCAGGGTGGTACCCGACCTCGAGGACCTCCATCAAAAAGAAGTTAGGTTCCAAGAAGCCACGGTATCGTCGCAAGTCCCGGGGTGGTACCCAACCTCGAGGACCTCCATTGAAAAGAAGTTAGGCTCCAATAAGATATTGGCATCATTACAAAACTCAAGATAATACCCAATCTCAAAGGCTCCTCTCAAGAAGGAAATAAGCACTTAAACTCCACCCATATGGGCTTGTCCCCGGGGTACCATCTGAATCCGGGTAAACCCTTGTCCGGGACCTATCTACAACGCCTTAAGGCTATTTATGATAAGTTCAAAGCAAGCTTCCAGATGGCTCAAGCCTGAGCAAACCCCCACTCGAGGACTGTTCTCGAAAGTCTAAAGGTAGTCTCTATTCTCGAGCTCCCGAGCGAATTCCCCCTCGAAGATTATTGCAGGCCCTAAATACTAAGTCTCGATATGAAGGTTCGAAGCCCTAATCTCATTCAACTCGAAGTTGGGGTCTCGACGACCCGAGCCGAATCAGCCAAACCCGGGCTCGGTCTAGGGAACAGTCAAAGGTCAGAAAAAATACTTACACCTGGGCTCAATATCGGCACCAAGCGGTAGAGTCATGCATTCAGAGTCTCCATAAGCGCAAATAAAAGGAAGCATAGCAAACATCAAAGACGAAACTGGAGAAACATCTTTGTATTCATAAACACTTGATTACAAAAGCCCACGAGGGATCCTTACATATGATTACAAAAGCCCACGAGGGGTCCTTACAAAGAAACAAAGAAGCAAAGGGGTACACATATAGTAAAAGACAAGAAGCCTAATCTATTCTCGAGGGTTCCCCAGCGGCAGCATCTCCGAGCACCATCTCCTTGGGCATGCATCCTCGGCGGCAACACCCTTGACCGCCACCTCCTCCGGGGTCTCATCTTGGTCCTCCAGAATAATATCTTCAATGGAGAAGATGAATAAGAGGAAAGTGGTGGAGGAGAGCAAACTGACGCGGGAGAGGCAGAAATGGGTGAAGAAGTGGCTGGGTGAAAAATATTGGCTAGTATGGATTTCACCAGCAAGCCACTCCTTGAGACGTTATCCCGATGCGGGATGCGGCGGTGAGCAGACAGTACCACCTCACTCCATGGAGAGCAAAAAGAGTGAGGCTCCGCATCGGGTAATTGAGGGAGGTGAGCAGCGGTGTAGAGTACGAGCACCCCCCTGAGCAGCGATGTAGAGTCCAAATATTTCCCCGAACTAGGGGAAATCGGCCCCCTACTTCGTCGTCCCAAGCCAATGATAACAAGAACAAGAACAACAACAGAACGGTGTAATCTCACTCGACAAAAGAAAGTCCAGGAAATAGGTCGTGGCATGGCCGATAGAAACACCGCCGTATAATCTTGAGGCCATGAGCCTCAAACATGGTGGATGACAATGGATAAGAATGGCGAGAAGAGAAGGATGGATAGATATGGGAAGACACTTGGATGAAAGGATAATCCCAGGAGGCTCCCATTTATGGGAAGGGTGGCAGCGTAACCGACGACGCCATTATTATCTTCGAAAGACGTAACAGCATGCACATTTAATGCGCCATTGGGAGCTGAACCGGTGGCAACATTATAGCTTTGGAGAATGAGAAACCGTAATGCTTTGAATGATCCTGGTAAGATGAAGCGACGGGACGTTTCATTTATCACGGAGGCTTGCGTTATCGGTATGACGTCATCGCAGGGAGTTCGAAAAGCTGGTTATCAAGGTCGTTTCTTATCATTCTACTCCTAGAAACACGGGGACTATCTGTATACAGTAAAATCGGAGGGTCCAATTCCCCGTCATCGAGGCGACTCAGAGGATCGTCTCAAAGGCTCGAGGCTACAAGGCTACGATCGAGTTTTCCTCCTTCGAGGTTTGTCCACGCTCGACCTTGAGACAATGTCGATCGCGGCTATGGTAAAGGTGGGGAGTTCCCAAGGTACACACCTAGGACTGACTAAGTCTAGTGGACTACTCTAAACCCGGATCAGGGCGTCATCTAGCGGTCCCATCTCCATATCTTTGTAATTAATGCATTTTGTACTACGTTGGGATTCCCCTCCTATATAAAGGGAATCCTTGTCATTTTGTAAACATCTGTTGCTCCATACTAAATATACAAGAACATTCTCTCTACTCTCTAACACATTCTCTTGATATTATTGCTTCCATTTATTATCTTCATTATTGTTCATTATTTATTGTTTATCACTGGCTATAAAGAGCCTTCGTTGATTTTATTATAACTGTTAGTCATCCCTCGACTGCCTTCTATAACTACCAGCTGAGCATCGGAATCAAGCTAGGCCCCGATTGTTAGCTTATCAGTTTTGTTATTACCTTATTCCTAACTCTTATCTTGTTTCTAAGTCTCTCACATCGCATCAACTGCTTAACAACCGCCATAAAAATAGATCACATATTTTTAGAGTCCCATAATCAAATATAATTGTTATTACCATTTTCATGGTAAACACTACACTTGTTGTACATTTTGTGCAGGTACATTTATGTCTGGTGGTCCTACGGGCACATAGGTGTGGTTACTTGCGGGGACTTAGGTGAGTTGCATCTTATGTTATGAGTCCAAAGCACGCAGAGTCTTCTTCAGAGTATTTACATTTTTCCTGTCCAAATTTGTATTCCGGACATATGCTGTATTTTATTTTACTTCTTAGTATATGCTCATGCACTTGTGACATCGGGTTTTTGGGGCACTTATGCGTTATTCATTAGTGTAGTTGGAAAAATAGTATCATTTACTCTGTGAACTTTATTCCTTATTATTTGATGAAGGAAAAATTATGATTTTAAAAATACTAAAATGAGTAATAAAGTTAATTATTTATTGTTGGCTTGTCTCAAAGTGGTGTTAGGTGTCATCACGACCATTAAGGGGTTTCGAGTCGTGACATTAAAATTCTTACTTATTAGGAGTATTTTATTTGCTGCGGTGCAAAAGGTATATTTGTCAAACACGTCAAGAAACGTGCTCAATTTTTATATATTTACTGTAAGGCTTATGGTGAGGCATGTTGTGACTTAATGCCACTCTCAAAATGAAAACAACGTCACTAGTGACAACAAAAGTGCCAAGTGCTATTTTTTTTTTGGTCAACAATCGAACTTATAGGTATTTAAATTCTGACATTACAAGGAGCTTGTTGTAATACATTACAAAAATTGTAATCAAAATGGTGATCGTTGGAGTGATCACTTCCAAAAAGGTTGGACTGTAGGACAAGTTGGTTGGGCATGTGGACTTCACAAATCTTGGGTAGGCAGTGCCTTGTTGATCAGCCAAAAGATGTGGTAGCAAAAAACTTGGTGACTGGGTGAAGATTGTTATGTAGTCTCTCACATTGACAGTGGAACCATTCTGAGCGAGAGTATATGCAACGTAGATTTTCTCCCTGTATGTGTGGATAATCGGAGGATTACCCAGCTGCTGGATTAAGTACCTGCATTCCATTAAAGTGGATGAGTAGTGTAAATTATCTTTGTTAAGCATTGATATTACCTCAGTAGAATCCACGTTCATTTCCAGTGGTATGAGCTGATGAAGCCATGCTAATTGAAAACCCTGTAATAATGCATTTAATTTCATATAGGTGGAGTTACCTATAGATCTTGTACCCATGAAGCCTAGTAAACACTATCCCATTGTATTGCGGAATACTCCTCTTATACCATTTTTAGATGGATTGTTTTTGGCTGCTCCATCAGTGTTTAGTTTAATTTAACCTAGAGGTGGTGGTGCCATTTGACATACATGTGTGTGCGCGTTGGTGCTGGCGCATTTTGTTGAATAAGGTTATGATATTCTACTGCTTGTGTTATCAAATGCTGTGTTGAAGGAGGTGAGTTTGAGTGTCTATTAAAAAGATAGTGATTCTTGAGCATCCAAATATGCCATACTATGTGTGGGATAAGAATACGTGATGGCAAGTTGAAAGGGAGGCTGTTAGTGTTATTGATTAAATGATGTATGATTTGGATGGGTGCAGAGACTTGGATGTCACAGGTATGTAACGTAGTGTCAATCCTCAATTGAGACCATATAGTGGTCATGATATGGCATTGGAATAGTAGGTGGTTAGTTGTTTCTGTGCTTTGAAAATAGAGATTGCACGTATTGGATTGTGTGACATGTATATGGTGTAGGTAAGTAGCTGTGGCTAATCTTTGATGTGAGACTAGCCAAAGGAAATGTAGTATTTTTGGAGGTAAATGTAATTTCCAAATCCAATTGTGTGCGTAGGTTGTTTTTGGTTCTTCTAAAGTATGGTATAATGATTTAACAGAGAATTGGCCATTGCGAGTGAGCCCCCAAA